GTGATATTTGGCACTTTGGCCACTCCCAAGTGGCGCCATTCCTCTAAAAGAGAAGGTTGAGCCTTGTCAACTGCCTGTATCTTTTACTGTCATGCTGTGGGTGTCCCCTAACCCCTTTTTTGAACAGCAGGTTTGTAGCAAGGGACTAAAAACACTGAAACTCTAAACCTCGTAGGGTTTTTATGCTCTTCGAATGATTATCAGAATTCTCTAGGAGGAGAAACTGAAGTTAAATGTGGTAAATTATCTAACAAATTGTCCTACAACTGTCTAACAAAATATGGATATGAGAAAATCTGCTGTCAGATAACTAAAGTCCTCAAAAACTACCTGGGTCCAGAAAGCTCCTAACAGCTCAGCTGACAGTGGAAGTCAAAATAAGAAACAGAAATTTAGGAGATAAATTCTATTTATGCAGCCATTTTTAAAGGTGCCATGATAATGGTGTTGGAAACCAGGCATGTCTAAAACAAATATTAACCCATTTCTAATTTGGTTACTGATAACACAGCAAGATAGACACCCTGTAGGCCTGATAGCTATATTGTTATTAACAGTCTCCTTGGCATTAGAATAAACAGTGTAAATAATTTTAAACCACTAACAATTAAGAGGTACAAATGGAAATATTAAGTGCATTTTTGGCCTTCAGATTGGCCAAATTGAAAAAACGTGTACCACCCAGTATTAGCAAGGATGTGGGGGAAGACGCCCTCTCACACACTGGCTGTAGGAGAATAACTAGATTATGCGTGGAGGTCTGTTTGACATTTGAAACATTATTAATTTATGAGGCAACCAATTCTACTTCTCAGAACTGGTCTCACAGAAACTGCACAAGAGGGATAAGGACAAGAATAGTGGCTGCGGCAATGTAAAAAACTGGATAAAAACGTCTAACAAGAGGAAGCTGTTTAAATACACGGTGGTATTGCTGTCCAGTGAAACTATTCAACTATTAGAAAGAATGACACACATGAAAAAATGTGTAAGAATATAACGCTAAGAGGAAAATGCATGTTTCTCAAGAGTTCATGCAATACGATCTTTGTTAGGTTAAGTTAGATATAGTTCTGTTTTTAAAGGTCCCATATTTTCGTCTGCTGAGTACCTGCCTTCCAGGCTCTTCTGCTGGGCCCACCCTTCTCCATCCACATGGCCCCAGGGAGAACTGCCATGGCGCCACCCTGCTATAGCCACTGATGACCGGCGTAGGCGTCTGAGCACGGCTGGGCAAGACGTCCTTCCCCCAGGATTTTCTTACTTGTCACCAGAGAAACCAGTCAGCCAAACGCTGGTGCTGTGCTGGTGTCACCTGGGGAAAGCGGCCTGCAGTAGGAAGGAGAAGGAAGCCGCACGCAGGGGCCATGCAGGCTGGACATGGAGCCCGGCCTGGCCGCGCCCAGGAGCCTGGTTCTGCGGCTACTCCGGCTCACTGCGGCCCCACCGGGCACGCAGCTCCTGTGAGTGAGGCCACGTAGCCTCCCTGTAGGAACCCTTTCCGTTTGAGCTATCTGAGCACGTTGCTGTCGTTGGCAACCAGGCTTAATAAAAGTACAGTTAATTCTGTGGGAATGTACCCCAAACTCTTCCTAGTGTCTTCGCCAGTGAGGGGCCTGGCATGGAGAACTTTTATGTACTGCGCATTTTGTAATGCTGGGGTTTTCATTGCTTATTTTTACAACGAGCCTACAGTTCTTTTGAAATCAGGAAGTTGGCTCTTAAAGGAAAAAAAAGTACTTCATGTCTCTACCTTATTCTCATAGAATCTAAAAGATAAGTGACAAGGACATTTGAGCAAGAGGGCTGGTCATCTTGCTGTCATGTTGAGGGACGTGTCTGGGTTGGTCTTTAGAACTCACTAGCACGAATAAGCATTAATCCCAAGGACTCTGGCTGGACCCTCCTGACTGTGGCAATGGCCACACCTGGTCTGGCTCTTGTTCCCTGAGGCTGGCGGATGGTGGCGGCAGAGGCCTGTCCTAATTAGACGGCTGTTTCTGTCCATTCACCCTTTCAGTGGATATGATTTCACTTCCCTAAGCCTTTCTCCCGGCCGAATGAAACTTTACCTTAACCTAGACTAGCTTACAGGGTGAGGGCTGGGCACCTCTGGAGCTCCGCTGCCCTCCTTTCCAATTTGGGGATCGTGCCCCAGGGCGAGTGGCCAGCCAGGCGGTGTCCTGGCCACCTGGAGGTGCAGAAGTTCGTGGCGAGGCTGCGATCCCCATTCTCACAGGACTCTCCCGGATCCCCACCTGACGTCAACACAAAAAGGACTCAATTCCAGTCTCGGTGAGAGCAGACTCGCCCCGGCTTGTTCCTTTGTGGATGTAGACTCATGACTGAACGTCCACAGAACGAGCTGGAGTTGTGACACTTGACACAAAGGATGGGCTTCATTAAGAATTCCTATTTCTGCTTTCCAACAGTTAAGTCTGCTGGCCTCTTTGTCATGATTGTTGATAAACCCATCCAGGCAACCCAACCTAGTTACTCTGTCCACTGAGACAATTACGCTTTCTGATGAGACCGTGGCTGTAGTTTTCAAAAATGAAATAGCAACGTCCCTGGGCTCCTGCCAACAGTCGACTGAGGGTTGGCTATCATTTTTATTAACCACCCTCTGCTGTTCTTTTCTAGAACCACTAATCCTCCTGGTGTCAGGCGCTGCCTATGTGCTACCAGAAATGCCACTGGAGGCCTGGTCCTCAGCATTCCTTTCCTGAGTCCTGGAGCCCCAGCTGACACTCTGGTCAGAACTCTGTGCCAGCTGGTTCCAGTGAGAGAAAATGGCACCTGCTGGGCCACATAAACCTCCAACTCACAAAGTTCCATGTCCTTCTTTTGTTTCATAAACTTGCCCTGGGCGAGTGTCTGAGCCAGAATGTAATACAAACAAATTTACTGCATTTGTTTGTATTTACTAATGTAAACAAAATTACTGCAGTTATTATAATTATGAAAGGGGTCTGGTAGTTTGGGACTTTATTTTGAACCTACGTTTAACATCAAGTAGTCTAATTGCACCAGGTTCTAAGAATGTGAACTGACAAATGAATGCCCAGTGTGTGGTTCTTTTGTACTCGCTCTCAGCTGTTCTGATTTGGGCAGGAGGGTAATAGTGAATTTTGAAGGAGAATTGAGTAAAATCAGAGCTAAAAACCTTTGTACTTTGATGGGAAGACGCATTTGAGACTGAAATTAGTTCAAGAATCATTCTTTAGTGAGGCTATACTTGAAAATAATGACTCTGTGTCCTGACTTTATCCCAGCCTGCTTAAATATCCTCCCAACATTAAATTTCTGTAAGAAAATGGTCTCAAAATCAAGGCTCATCTATAATTTAAAGTATTTCTAACAAATATTCAAAACCAGGACCTGCAATAATTAGATGGTGAGAAAATTGTCCTTATTTCTGATTCCAAATTTGTCTCTGATTCAAAATAAAACAACAAAATTATTTTTGGGGCTGGGGAGGGGTGAGCAAATGATCTGTAGCACAAGCGTCATGAGCTACTGAAACACGTTTGCTGCCACCCAAAGTCTTACTCACTAATTCAACAGAACGGGATCACAACATGAGAACTACATTTCTATACTAAATGAGCACAGAAATTATAGATTACACACATCTGGAGAAGTCATTAAGAAGAGCATCTGCTTTCTGTATTTAAACAGAAGAATCTGGTTTTAAGAAAAAAAAATAAATTATAATCTGCGCTTCACTGAATAAGACAATTGTTGCTAGAGTCAAGAGGAAATAAATCCCTTCTGTTTGTGGGCACCAGGCCAAGTTATTGGGAATGTCCCCTCTCCTGGGACACCTGGTCCAGCACAGGTAAATGGACACACTGAGGCAGGTGGCTGGGTCCTGCCAATGAGAAACAGAGAGGGGAACATTAAATTGCTTTCAGACACCAAGAAGACATCAGTATTTCTCCTTGGGCTCATGAGATTTGCTCTATCCTTGTGTGGTTCTGGTCACTTGATCTGTGAGTAGACACTGCTTTGTAACGTTATGAGTTCCACTGTGGTATAGTGGGGAGAACAATCCGCTTGGTGCTGCAGTCCTGGGTTTGAGTCCTCGTATTGGGCATGTGGCCTTAGGCAGGTCACTTACATCGCTCTTAGATAAGGTATTCTCCCCTGTGAAAATAAGGTAAGTTACTCTTCCTAATCTTTCATGATTAGGCAATCATATCAGCATCACCAACAAAGTAACTTCTAGACTGAGGACTGGCATATAAAGGGAGGGCACTCATGTTTTTAGGGCTTTAGTGGCAAGAAAGGAGAAGATGACTAGGGAAGGATTCATTCTGACTCCCATGCCCATGTGAGGACTCCAAGGCCCCGGAAGATTTCACCGGAAAAGGTCTTCATTGCTCCCCTCCCCCTCCTTTTCCAGTACCCACTTCAGTGTTCTAGATTCACAGCGAACCGGACTCAGATTCATGACGAAGTGTTTGTGAGCATGTGCTGTGAACGTGGCATCACTCTACGAGGCAAAACAGATGGGAGGAGAGGCTCTTGCCTGAGAACAGCCTGCTGGGGACACAGGCACAAGGGTGGCGTCTGGAACTAGGGTGGGCTGGGCCGGGCCTTGGGTGCTGAGGGACCATGGCAGCAAATGGTCTTGGCTACCCCAAATGCTTCCTGGAAGTCAAGAATTATAAGGAAATGGAGGACAAAACAATATGGGAGAAAAAGCACCTGACAGAAAGGTAGGTTCATGTTCCACCTCTACCACTGTCTAGAGCAAATCAACCCTTCTCTCTGGACTGCAGTTTCCACACTGGTAAAACAAGAAGGCTGCTTCCTGGGTCTCCTGTTCTGATTCTCTGACACCGTTTTGGATGGAGCAGCCTGCAAGCCTGAAGTGAATGTTGCCTTTACCCAAGCCATACAGTCCCCAAAAGCTGGGGCACCGCACGCCAAGCGGAGTGAGCTGAGGACACATGGACACGTGCCCACCTCGGGGCAGAAAGGCTAAGCGTTACCTGGTGTGGCTGTTGGAGGACAGGCTCTCCCAGGGCTGCACGCTGCAGCCGGCCACGGCGAAGGCGCCCCCGCAGCTGCCGTCCAGCTTCATGAGCAGGGCCTTGGCGGCGTTCTCGGCTGTCTTCCGGCAGTCGTGAGCTCGCTTGAGCATCTGAGTGATGTTTTCATCCCCTGACTGGTCTCCTACGTGGCAGAGAAGCCAATGGATTAATCAACACAGGTCTGGGCAAGGCAAGCCTGGGAGTGACTTTGCATAATCAACCCTCAGTTACTTGGGGCAGAGGTGGCGTGGTGGGGGGAACTAGCAGTGGCCAGCAGAAGAGGAGATCTGCATTCTGGGCCTGGCTCTGTCACTTAGAAGCTGGATGTGGGAAGGCATGTCTCTGCTCTGGACTCCAGCATCCTCATGGACACATGAAGGGCTTGGCCAACATGCTTGCCGGGGATCTGTTCCCAGCTCTAACATGCTATGATTTTGTGTTAAATAATTTTCCAGGCTCCTGGCTTCTCTTCCCACTTAGTCACGAGTCTACTGTTTGGGCCATTCTCCTGTGCAATGGTGCTTCTTCGTAAATGAGGGCAGGGAGAAATGGAGGCAAAACGGTGTCCTATCTCCAGCTTTGGCTAGAGCTTTGGGTAAGTGGCAAGAGAGACAAAACTAATGGTTCAGACGAGGACTTGAGATTTGTTCTGTATTCTCTGTATTGATGCTACCCCAACCCTTCTCCTGTCCTGGTAACAGTGGCAAACTCAAATGCCTCCGGCAGCCAGGTGATGGGGCTGGAGCAGGATGGCAGGGTGTGGCAGTGAAGTCCTTGCTCAAGATGTTCACATTCTTGTTGTTTTAAAAACTGTGCTGGAAAAGGCAAAACTATGGAGACATTAAAAAGATCAGAAGTCGCCAGAGGTGGGGAAGGAATGAATAGGTGGAGCACGGAAGATTTTTAGGCCAGTGGACTATTCTGTATGATGCTATAATGGTGGATGCACGTCCTTATGCGCTTGTCCGAACCTACAGAACGTTCTCCACCAAGAGTGAACCCGGATGTGAACTGGGGCTCTGGGTGATAACGATGTGTCAGTGCCGGCGCATCAGCTGTAACTAATGTACCACCCTGGTGGGGGATGTGCGTGTGTGGGGACATGGGAAATCTCTGTACCTTCCTCTCAATTTTGCTGTGAGCCTAAAACTGCTCTAAAAATTAAAATCTTAAAAAAAAAAACACAAAAATTTTGCTGGCCAAACAAGTCACCAGTTTGCTACCTGAACAGCATGGATCCATGCTCTTCCAAATATTTTCAACTGAAATCTTATAACAAAGCAAACAAAACTTTTGCTAACATATACAAATGGTACACTTAGAACTGAGTGAAGTGGGCAAGGGTGGGGGGACACACCCAGCATCCCATCCTCCAAACAACCCCTCTGCTGAGGCCCAAAGACACTCCTCCAGCTTCCCAGGGCACAGTCCAAAGACCACTGGCCAAAAGCAACTAGAGTAACATAACGAATGTCCGGGAAGGTGACAAGAAACAAGGGAAAACACCATAATAACTGATACTGTGGGTAAAAGTCACAAACCAGTTCTTGCTTTGCTGTACAACAAGTATACAACACGTTAGGGCAGAGCGACAGGCCAACTGCTGTTGTCAGCAGAATGGAAGAGCGAGGTTTTAAGGGGGGCTGCTAAAAATTAAGGCAGCCCTCAACACCACAGGGAGTGGGCAGGAGAGGAGGTGGGGCATGTCATGCAAGAGTCCCTGGACCCCCCCTCCAGCCATCTCTCCAACAACCTTCATGCTTCTCTTCTTTCCACAAATAAGACATTTTACAAACGACTCCCCAGCTGACTGCATTTGAATTCTGCTCTGAAGTAGGCATGACATTACTGAATGGCTCGTCTCATAAATGTATACGTGAGCCACCCAGCATTAGGTAAATACAAAGCATTTCATTACTGATTTTAAATGCAGACTTATTTAAGCCCTTTCAGCTCCTACACCAGGTAGCCGCACTGAGTAGGTACAAGCCTAGTAAAAGGTACCTTTTGAGGAGGGAACAGGTTAAGATGTTCCTCTGATACAAACTGGAAATAAGATGATTGATTTTTTCCCCCTTTAATTGATTATTTTTCTTAATACATTAATTAAAAAAACCTGACAGCAGGCCAAGATCATTTTAGGATCTGTTTCATATGAGGAATAAAGTTTTATGGCTCAGTTAAAAGACCCTGAAAAATGAGGTTTCTAATGGAAATGCTGGCAGAGTTTCTACTTCTGGGCTGGGATGGTAATGCTATTAAGGGGAAAAAAACAAAAAAAAAGATGGAGGCATGGAAGATGGCCCACCATACACATGCAGTGTGTCCCTTGCTGGATAGTGTGGATACGAAGCAGGAAATGAACGCTTCCCTTCCCTCAGCTTGCAGATTCCTGCACATGTCAAAGCGGAAGGAGGACACACATGCCACGGTGCACTGCAAAGCTCTCCCCCAGGCAAGGGGAGGCTCTGGTGAGGAGGACAGGACAGTGTTCGGAAAGTGCCCGGATGATGACCTTCTTTGTAGGTCTTGGTCATCCCGGAAGGACAAGCCCTACTGGAAGCTCATAGCTGAAAGCCAGACTGTGACGATGGCCTGGTCACCACGGACAGGAACACCCGACCTGCCCACACCACCATCTTTGGCTCTGGAGTGACCCAGTCACCTCTGCTTTCAGTTGACTTGCCGTTGCTTCTCCAAAGCAGCTGCTGTTGTAAAGCGTAGGCTGAGGGAGTATCTGGGGCGCAGTTCAAGCACTATTTTTTTTTTTTTTTTGCAGCATGGATGAACCTTGATTTCAAGCACCATTTCTACCGCAGTCCTCCTCACATCGCTGCAGGGCTCCGAGCCACAATCACCGGTCAAGTTCCAGCAAGTGCTGTTCACTAGCGTGCCATGACTACACCCTTTTCGGTGAGATGTGCCTTCCTCTTACTCAAACTTGTGGGATAGGAGTGAGGAGGGCACTGTGGTTCTTGAAGTGCAGGTCAGGCCAGCAGGACCTGTGACCCCTGGAGGGTGGCGGGGAGGCGAGGTGGGTGGGCCACAGCTCACGGGGTGAGCGCTCTGTGAAGCTGACCAGAGCAGCTGTGCAGCTACTACTGCTTTATTCCCTGGCCTGGAGGCGGCGGGAACCCGTGCTTCAAAACCACTCAAAGAAATACACCTGGAGAAGCACAGCCGATGAGGTGTCAAGGCAGGGGCCGTGTGGGCAGCAGAGGCCCCGGCCACCAGCATCAGAGGTGGCTGCGGCCAAGCGGGCCCTCTAATCACTGACGTGGGCCCCCGCCCCACACGGCCCTATGTCGGCCCAGGAGAATGCGTTTCCTATAAGGGCTTGTTTGTTTTAACTCGTCTGTAGTTCTGTTGCTACTCCAGTTCTTGCGGCATTCGACATAAACAATTTACCCACTCGGCCATGAGGAAAAACAAAAACACATTTGACAACTGAATTTCATGTTGTTGGGAGATGACGTGACGACGCCAGCAGCTGAGAGGGGGGCAGTGGAGCAGAAGAGGCAGAGGACGAGCTGAGGAAGAGGGACCCGGGAAACACTTACCAGGGGAGGACCCCACGCCAGCCGCTCGGAACTGCCCCAGGATGAGGCTCTGCTCGCTCTCGGCCAGCGCCAGCAGGAGTTCGTAGGCCTCTATGCACTGCTCGCTGAAACACAAGCACACGCCTCAGCTCCCCGGGAGCGGCGGGCGCCTTCGACACCAGCGCCCGGGCCTGCGGGGGTGGCAGCCTGGGGTCGGCCTCGGCCTCACCACGCACACGGGCAAGGAAACCGCCCACGAATATTCCCTGGACAAAGCCAGCGGCTTGTTCTTTTGTGTTGGCCTTTTTTTTTTCTGAATATTCACTGAATAGTGGATAGCCTTTTAAATTATAAAACTTTAAGCTAGGTTCTAGAAAAAAACAAGAGAAGCAATGAAGGTGGGGGATGCAAGTGTGGTGTCCTGGTGACCAACTAAACGAGAAATGTGATACATCTGTGGTAGCCAGCCTCCAGGCGGAGTCCCACAACCTGGCGTCCAGGGTTGGTCTGTGTGACTAACAGAACATGGCAGATCTGATAGCAGGTCACTTCCAAATTAGGCTACTAAAAAACACCACGACTTCTGTCTTGGTCACTCTCTCTCACTTCACTTTCTCCCGGATCATCCTCTCCAAAGGAGGCCAGCTGTCATGTCTTGAAGACTCTCAAGAGTCCTACAGAGAGGCCCATGGCTTCCTGCCAACAGCTGGGAAAGAACTGGGGCCTCCAGCCAGCGGCCACACGAGTGAGCAGATCCTCCAGCCCCAGTTTTCAGATGATGCAGCCTGAGCTGACAGCTTGACCAGAACCACCCAGCCAGCCACTCCCAGATTCCTGCCCCTCAGAACTGTGATGTGACACATTATTAGTTATACAACAGTAGGTAACTAATACAACACCCTATAAGGAGGCAATTTGGACCTAGACTAGCACCATTCAATATAGCAGCCACTAGCCACATGTGGCTAATTATACAAATTTTAATTTAAATGAAATGAAAAATCCAGTCCCTCCACTGCATGCTCACATGCAATACTTGACATGTTCAACGGCCGCACGTGGCTAGTGGTTGCCATACTGAGCAGCACAGAGAGAGGACAGTTCCATCACCACAGAAAAGTTGTATTACATACTTGTAAAACCTGTCTCATGACACACTCTTAGCTTCACAGAATCTCCGACAAGAGTTTGAGTTTGGGCTTCTAAGAGGAAGAACTGTAGTCACTCTTCTATGTGACCATCACTCATTGGGCAAACAAGGCAGAAGATCAAAGAACAGCCCCTGTCCCACAGCCTGAGACCCACACGGACCCACGTCCACACAGGAGGTAGAACATGTGCGTGACACCTGCGTGTTCCCGGACAAGATGCCTACGGTAGCAAAATTTCCTCCTTAAGCAGATAACCGGGTAGCTTCTCCAAGTCGAGCAGGGGAAATGTTGCTTTGGTCAACATTTAGTCAACAGACCATCTGTTTTTGATTGTCTTTACTTTCATCATCCTTTACTAAGAGTTCAAGGGAAAAAAAGGGCCAAACCACTTGCTCTAGGTGCTGCCAGCTCGTCCTCTCAAGGGCAGCCCGTACTTCAGGTTAGAGATGCTGGGCCGTTTCTTTATCTGTGAGCATGTGCTAATGCAGAGAAAGACCTTTCTGATCAAAGGCAGACTGCGGGCAGAGAACAGCCGGTTTCGAGAGTTATCACGCGTGGATGATCTGCTTGCTTTGGTGTGTCTGTCAACTAGCATGATTGCTCTCTGGTCGCCTATATTTTGGTTTGATTGTTTATAGAATAAACAATGTTTGTTAAAACAATATTGAACTTTTTAGAGGAAGCTAAGAGTAAGATATAGTCAACTACTATGAGGCCTCGGCAAATATGCTTAAGTGGTTACGCTAATTAAATAAACCTATGAAGACAATAATAAAGCGCAGTCTTGCAGCTTTAAACAAGCAGTAATTTAAAAACAGATAAGTTCCAAAGCTGATGAGGCAGCAAAAAAGCAGTGCCTTCAAATTACCACGTGCTCATCAATGAATGAACTGCAGTCATTTAAACTGGCTTGTTTAATGGAAAAAAGTCAGCAGTATGCCTGAACGGCTAGGAAAATATTCATATCCTTTGACCTATAATGCCTGCTTCAGGGATTTTATCTCAAGGAAATATTTAATAAAAATGAATATCTTCTCTCTGTATTAAATTATTCACCATAGAATTATTTTCAATATCAAAAGTTTGCCAAAGTCTGAATGTCTTTTAGAGAAATGACTAAATAAATAACAATATGTAAACTTGAAGCAGGGGTTACAGCCATTCAAAATAAATGGAGAAAATTAAAAACTATGCCGAATTGAAGAAAAAGAACATACTAGACTTACAGCAATGTAAAATATATATGAATAAAGATCAGAAAGAAATGAACATGTAAAATAAAAACTGATCTTTTGAGTGATATTACATAAATGAAATGATATTTAAGTTGACTATACTAGTAAAACATACCTGCTGACTAATACCATATTCATGCCATAGTATCCACCCTTACAATATTTGCTGGTCCAACCCCTCAGTCGTGCCTTCTAAAAGCCTGCTTCCTACTTTTATGCAGAAGGTTAGCCTGGATGCATTTGTAACTTAACGAGTGACAAAGTCCCGCCGTGTCCCGCGGCTGTTCCCCCACCTGTACTGCAAGGCCAGCCTCAGCGCCGTGGCATTGGACTCGTATTTCCCCACCAGCATGCTCATCCTCTCGGCGTTGCTTTTACATTCCTCCAGGGTTATGGTCAGGAGGTCATTTTGGGATTTGAGGTGTTCAATCCGGCTAAAAAGGAAGAAAAATCACTTTCACACCAGGATTCTAGTTCATTTGCCAACATTTCAGTTGTCGCATTTATGTTCAGGCCAGAAAAGCGTGTTAGGATGTCGGCTGGTCAGAGGTTTTAGTAACTGACACAAAATAATCAAGGAAGTGACTCTTAAAAAAAAAAATCACTAAATTCTGTGTGAATTAGAAATAAAAAATAAGCCTCCTGGTTGTTTCCCACCCAGCTGTTGCCATGCTCACTCCATGGGTGCCACGTGCCACGTACTGTGCCAGGCTCCAGGCTATACCAGGAAAGGAGGCGGGTGTGTGCCCTCACGGCCCTCCTCACCAGGAACCTCTGGCGTGCTTCGGTGAGTCGCCCTCCACAGAGGCAAATGAAGAGCAGCATCCTAGCAATAGCCACTATTTGTTGAGCCTTTGCTCAACAATAAGCCTCTCAGGAGCCGTTGACTTCAGTGTTATTATCTCCATCTCTCAGGTGAGGAAATGGAGGTGCAGAAAGGTTAAGTACCCTGCCCTGGATTTGAACCAGGCAGTTTGACCCCAGATCCTGTACTCTCAGCCACACACTACAGAGCAGAAGCAAACGAGGAATCAGGGAGTGCAACGCTTTGAAACCTCATGTTGAAGTCTGGTCCACCGTGGTGGAGGTGGGGCGTAAGGCGAGGTGTCGGGGTTGTGGGAGGCAGATCTCTCATGAACAGATCAACGCCCTCCCTCAGGGGCGAGTTCTAACCCTATGAGCTGGTTGTCAAATTGGCACCTCCCCACTTTCTTGCCATGTGATCCCTGCACACGCAGGCTCCCCTCGACTCCTGCCATGACCACTCACTCCATGGGCCCACTTCTAAGTGAGCTACGATGACTGCACTCTAGCCTGGGAGACAGAGCAAAACTCCGTCTGAAAAAAAAAAAAACTTTTTGAAACTGTTCCCATTCATTTACTTTTCAACTTGCTCCACAGCTCACAACAGCCTCTAAGTCCTGGGCTCAAGCGATCCTCCTGTCTTAGCCTCCCATGTAGCTGGGACTACAGGTGTGCTTCACCAACCCCAGCTTATTTATTTATTTATTTATTTATTTTTTGTAGAGACAGAGGTCTCGCTATGTTGCTCATACTGGCCTCAAACTCCTGGCCTCAGCGATCCTCCCATCTCAGCCTCTCAAGTTGCTGGGATGACAGGTGTGAGCCACTGCACCCAGCTTAGATGAAGCTTTTACACAAGTCATCCTGCGGCCAAACCTCCCTGTGGCCATATTCCTTCCTTCTTGAAATGGTCCCCTTACTCAGGCCATGGTGGTATCCTTTGCTAGATGCCCATTCTACATAAAATCAGTAGGGCTTGGCTTTCCCTCAGGGCTCAGTCCTGGGTCCCCTCCGCTGTCAACATCCCACCCCAGGGGTAATTTCATCCAGTCCCACGACTTCAATAGGCATTTAGGGTCTGATGGCTCCCAAATTTCTCTAGCCCAGACCTTTCTTCTGAGGGCCAGGCTCAGATCTCCAGCTCCTTCCTGACATTGCCCTTTGGGTGTCACGGTGCCATCCCCAATCAACATTCCTAAATGGGACTCTGGATTTTCCCCAAACCTTGCCTTCCCCCGTCTTCTCCATCTCAGTAACTGCCACCACCATCTACCCAACGCTATGTGCTAGACTCCCGAGAGTCTTCCTGGAGACCATCCCTTCCCCTCACATCCAGGTCTCACCCAGCTGCAGTCTCCACTGCTCCCAGCGCCGCATGTGTCCCGAGCTCTCTCTCTGCTTCCGCTGTCGCCCTTCCCATTCTTCACACCCAGGGGAGCTTGCAGCATGTCAGCCAAATCTTGTTCTTCCCCTATTTTAAACCCTCTAAAAACTTCCTTCTAATTGCACTTAGAATAAAGAGTAAAATTTGTCCATGGCCTCAAAATCTACATCTGGGCCACTCGGCCACCTCATCTCAAAGAGCTTCTCCTTCCACTCACTCCCCCTTAGCTCCACTGGCCGTTGGACGGTTCCTCCTTCACGCCAACCTCTTTCCAGCCTCACGATTGTTACACTGGCCCGTAAGAACCTTAGTCTGTCACACGGCTGCTCCTTTTTCCTTTAAAATCTCGGTGTAAACCTCCCCTCTTCAGACGCCTTCCCCGACTACCATTCGAAATGAACCCTCCCTGTGATTCTGCCAGTGTCCTCTTTATTTCCTTCTTGGACCTTTCTTATGATCTTATTTGTTTGTTTGTTTTGTCTACCTTCCCTAACAGAATGGAAGCTCCAGGAGAGCAGGGGCTTTGTCTGTTTTACTTTGCTTGGCATACCAAATAGCCCAGCACCCAGTAGATGCTTAAAATGGATTTGTCACATGAGGAAATACACTTGTGAGCAGGTAAGACACCCCTGCCGTGCTCCCGGCAATCATGAAGTTAAAGGCTGACATATTTTGGGAGTAACAGTCCTCTAACTTTGAGATGGGTGGTAAATAACAGATATCAGGATACCCTGGTAGATTACTTCTACGAACCCCCAGTTTCCAGCAGCAGCTATGATTACAGAGTGGTAATCTGTAATGGAGATGAAGTCAAAGGGTAGGGGCTAATAGCTCCGGACTCAAATTGCAACTTCACAGCCTTTATTTTCTCATTTGTAAAATGGGAAGGGACTACCCTGCCCTCACAAGTTGAGGATTAAGTGGTTGTCTGTGACAGCCCTTTGTAAGCTGTAAAATACCATAGTAATATGAACTACAAGCACCAAATATTTCCCCCTTCTTTGGTTTCTCCTGGGCACACATACCTGAGGAAGAAGGAACCTCCCCCCGATTCAGCCACAAAGCAGGCTTGTTAAATCCCAGAATACATAGAGAGGAGATTCTTCTAAACTGAGAGCCCCCTGAAGGCATCTGACTTCATTAAATTGCAAAGGGCATATCTGATTCAATTTTTAAGCACTCCCACACCAGCGATCCGAGAAGACTACTTCTTTACTGCTACAAGGTAATCATCACTCTTAAGTATTTTGGGATTTAATAAGGAAACCATTTAATTTCAAGATTTAAAATGACCTAGGTTGCCAACTTCCTTAGTTCTCAAGAACTATATTAAACAGTTTCAAATCAGGGAGAACTAACATGATAATTCAATTTATTCAGGTTTGCCATACACGAGAAAAACGGAATTAAGCAAAGGTAGATGGGGAATGGTATCTGCGTTTCTTCCTGGTTAGCTCATAAGTCTGTCAAATTCTTACCTTGCTTTCCCACTAGCGATTGGTGGGTTAAGGCAGACACACCACACTTGGATGGGATTCAGAAGTCCATTCTGCCACTGCAGAACCAATTCTGAGTCAGAGTGGTTACCATGGTCTGGCCCAGGTCCTTCCCTGCTTTTTTAGCAACTCCCTCATCACTGGGATGAAACACAAGCCAATCTTTTCCAATAGGCAGGAGTGTGAATTCAAACTACCTCTTTCATGAGACTTGGAAAGAATCCATAAAACCGGGTATAGGGTACAATTATTCCAAGCAGGACAGTTAGGATAGGACATAGGGACCCATGATAGGGCACATTTGCAAAGAGCATAAATAAAATTAGGCAACTATCAGGAAAAGTGAGGAGAGTTAGACCAGCATGCCCGGTCAGTACCAGGAACGTCTCGACCAGATTGTCTTTGCTGGGTCCTGGTAGCTCCAGGCGCCCCTGGGACGCTGACTCAACATTCCAGAACTCCCCTCTGTGGTTCTCTGCAGCACAGGCCTGCACACTTGGCAACCCTCCGTGACCTACTTGCAGTCTATTTGGACTACTCCTAGGATTCACTATATAATTTGTGGAGTCCAGTCCAAAACAAAAAAGTGGGGCCCCATTTCATAAATTATTAAGAATTGAAAATAGTGACAGCAAGATAGTAAGGCAAGTGTGGAGTCTTTCTGAGCACGGGGCCCCGTGGGAATGCCCAGGTCACACAGCCGTGAAGCCAGCCCTCACTGCTGCAAGCACGCCCCTGACGGCTGAGATGGTGGACACTGCCAACCCCACGAGCCTGACAGTATTTTCTATGTCACAAGACACAAGCCAACTTGCTCTTTGGAAGGAGAAGAGAGGAACAGCTCCTCTCTGCCGCCATCAAAACATAAGATTGTTCCTTACCTATTCAACCGCTCTGTTTCCACCTCAAACTCTCTAATCTTGCTTTCAGAGATGGCAGATCCGTGTGAGTAGAGGGTTTGGAAAATCTCTTGGATGTTGGAGCAGTCCTGAAGCGAGTGGGCCAGGTGTTCTGCCACACTGCTAGACACCTGTACAAATGAACATTAATTCCCCTTTGGATAGTGTCACTTAAGAGATGCTGGTCCCCAGTCATGCTTTGCACACAAAACAATTCAAAGCTGATATTCATCGGGAGGAGACGGTTACCCAGATGGTTCTAAGTATGATAAAATTCCAGTATAAAAAGCAAACTACCATGAAAGCGGTACATAAAATAGAATCAAAATATAGCTGCATCCCCCAAGCACTTGCTGTTGGGCAGCAAGGATGGGGGCACCGTGCCTCTTCAGAGTCCCTAAATTTTGGATGTTGAACAGAGTCTGGACTTCCTTCCCCCATCCTGAATCTCCTGCCACTCCAGGTCACACTGTCTGGTTACTGTAGCCAGGGAAAGGGGCTGACTCCTTCATTTTCACAATTTGGCTTTGGCATGGAATCCGAATACATGCAATTTTTGCTCAGTGCACAATTCTAAACTAGGGCCTTGGAAGTGCTATTCAGGCTCTACTCACCCCTATGGATCAAATAGCTGGCTGTCTCAGCCTCATCCCCAATCCTAAAAGATATCCCTTAAGGAACTGAAACTACTCCTTTCTCACCATCCATCAGCTCTTATAGCCCCAGGGGGTTCCCAGGCTCTACAAATGAAAACTCTGGCACTAAACTGGAATGTTCTGGTCTTTCCTAGTATTGGGATACACTTCAAAGGCATCATTCACCCTCACTGGAGAGCATATGCCCTTTCAAGAGGATGTGCAAAAGGCAAAATTCTTTCAGAGCTCCATGACTCCCTTGATCTCTAGGGTAGCAGGGCGATATAAAACAGACATTTCAAGGCTTTTATCTACATCACCAGGAACTGGACCTAAATCATTTCTTTTTTTTATTTGATTTTATTTTTTTTTTTGAGACAAGAGTCTCACTCTGTTGCCCTGGCTAGAGTGAGTGCCGTGGC